CACTTTTCCAAAGAAGATACCCAGATGGCTAACAGACACATGAAAAGATGCTCAACATCACTCATCATCAGGGAAATACAAATCAAAATTACAATGAGATACCAGCTCACACCTGTTCGGATGGCTAAAATTAACAACTCAAGAGGGGCGCCTGGGTGGCGTAGTCAGTTAAGCATCCGACTTCAACCAGGTCACGATCTCACGGTCCATGAGTTCAAGCCCCGCGTCGGGCTCTGGGCTGATGGCTCAGGGCCTGGAGCCTGTTTCCGATTCTGGGTCTCCCTCTCTCTCTGCCCCTCGCCCGTTCATGCTCTGTCTCTCTCTGTCCCAAAAATAAATAAACGTTGAAAAAAAAATTAAAAAAAAATAAATAAATAAATTAACAACTCAAGAAACAACAGATGTTGGTGAGGATGTGGAGAAAGGGGAACACTTTTGCATTACTGGTGGGAATGCAAACTGGTGCAGCCACTCTGAAAAACAGTATGGAGGTTGCTCCAAAAATTAAAAATAAAGCTACTTTATAACCCAGCAATTGCATTACTAGGTATTTACAGGAGTGCTGTTTTGAAGGGGCACATGATCCCCAATGTTTATAGCAGCACTATGGACAATAGCCAAAGTATGGAAGAGCTCAAATGTCCATTGACTGATAAATGGGTGAAGAAGATATGGTGTGTGTGTGTGTGTGTGTGTGTGTGTGTGTATTGGAATATATTACTTGGCAATCAAAAAGAATGAAATCTTGCCATTTGCAACAACATGGATGGAACTAGAATGTATTATGCTAAGTGGAATAAGTCAGTCAGAGAAAGACAAATATATAATTTCACTCATATGTGAAATTTAAGAAACACAACAGATGAACACAGGGGAAGGGAAGGAAAAATAAGATAAAAACAGAAAAGGAGGCAATAAGAAACTCTTAACTACAGGATAGAAACTGAGGGTTGCTGGAGAGGTGTTGGTGGGGGAATGGGTTAAATAGTTGATGGGCATTAAGGAGGGCACTTGCTGGGATGAGCACTGGGTGTTATATGTAAGTGATGAATCGCTAAATTCTATTCCTGAAACCATTATCACACTAACTTGGATTTAAATAAAAATTTTTAAAGAAGGTAATGAGAAAAACATTTTTTTAATTTTGATTCTGACAGGTTAACAGATCCTCCCCTTCTTTCACAGTCAACTCCCCTCCCAACCCTCTAGAGCTTCCCATTTCCTGAAATACCAGGAAGTACTCTCATCTCCCAAGTAGGGATAGAGATTTAATTAAGAGACTGCTTAGCAAGCAGGAAGTGTCCAGAGGAGGTATAAACAAAGGGTGTGCCTCCTAAATAGCCATTGGTCCCTCCACCCCTCCTCTGTTTTGCAAAGACATCTTCGTGTCTTTCTTTAATCCGATCGTCCCCCTCGACAGAGAAACCTTCGAATTCGCTGGCTGCAGTCCCCTCTAGAACCGCCATTGGCCGCACATTCTCTGGGCTCCTTTGTAACTTACCCCTTCCTCAGCAACTCTGTGACACTCCCCATGTCAAGCCTTGAGGAAAGAGGTTAGGAACCCCTTAAAGGATTTATCTCGGCTGAAATACAAGCTCTTCACCACTGCCATCCCCAGGTTTCCACAACTGGCTTGTTCCATCTCCTCCTTGAAAGGTCTCCTTCCCATGAGGCCCCATTTCTAGAATTTTCCTCCCCAACCAAGGCCCATCTCCTTTTACTGAGACTCTTTGTTGACTCTTTTCTCCCACAAGATGGCGCCTTCCTTGAGGGGACCTCAGGAGACTCCAGTCTTTCCAAGATTATACTGCCTGGAACCTGGAAGCATTCAAGATTTATTGATGAAGTTGAGAGAAAAAAAGAGAAACAGGAAGGAAGGAAGGGAGGGAGGAAGGAAGGAGGGAAGGAAGGAAGGTGGAAGGGAGGGAAGGAAGAGAAGAAGGGAATATTTTCCTTTTTTGCAACAGGGTAGACAATCTAGTTCATTTCAATATTGGTCCTCAGCCTTGATTTTTTTTTTTTTTAACTTTTCCTTCCTTTTCTTCTCCTTGACTTCCCTCCATGACTTTTTTCTTTTCTCATCAGTCACTGCCAAGCTCTCTTATGGTCTGTCTTCTCAGCCAGTCTGTCTCAACAATAACAAGCAGCCATTTATGAAGCTCCATACCAGTAGATTGTTTGCTACCTCCTACGTCCTTGATTCAATACTCTGAGATAGGTGTTCTCCCCATTTTACAGACAGAAGCTGAGGCTACTGAGGGTGGAGCTAAGATTTAATCCTAGGTTTATCCAGTACCAAAGCCCCTGCACACAACCCCAGTGCTCAGATTTACTTTACTTCCATTGCCTGCCCAGCGGGGCCACATTCACACCCGCCACCTTGGAGTGACATCTGCTTGGGCTCACCATCCTGGCCTTTCCCGCTCTGGAATGGAATCAACACAAGAAAAGTCAAGATAAGTGCTTGATTCTTCTATTTATTAATAGGCGAAATAGTGCTATGGGGCCCTCCAATACCACCTCCGGGCAACTAGCAGGTTTTTTGAGATTTTTTTAATTGGTGTGTCTGATTTGTTGTTGCTGTGTTGAACTCAGAGAGTTTAATACCTTCGTTCTGCTTCGATTTCTTGGAGTCATCATTTATTTCTTCAATGGTTGATGTTCAAACTCTTCCATTTTAGCCCATGGGAACCTTTCAAATTGACTCTTGGGTTCTTCCCACAGAACCTAGTAGTCTCTGATGGTTTCCTTGCTTTTAGGCTGGACAAGATGTCCCAAACTCATCTTGTACATTTCCTTCCCCTAGAACGAAAGGACCTCCAATTCCTCTAATCGTTGCAACAACGTGGATGGAACTAGAATGTATTATGCTAAGTGAAATAAGTCAGTCAGAGAAAGACAAGCTTCATATGATTTCACTCATATGTGAAATTTAGGAAACACAACAGATGAACCCATGTCAGATTATAGTCTCATATTTAGAAAGAAGTATACATTGCTGCTGGGATTAGTGATTTTGTTGTTGCTGCTGTTACTGACAGGAGAAGCAGTTAGGTTCATTAGTTTCAGCTTTATTTGCATATTTTTGAGATCCTTTGTTTTCTTTTTCTTTTTTTCCTTTTGTTTGTAAAAAATGTAAGATGTCTACATTTTCTGGTTAAAATTATAAAACAAGATACATTCGAAAAAGCCAATGTTTCTTGCTTTTATGTCCCTCCTGTTCTATCCCTCCACTTATAGATAAGCAATTTTAATTTGTATTTGGTTCATCCTCTGTTTTTCCTACTTGAAAATACAAGTAAATGTGCATATCTATTTATCATTTACTCATACATATATATTTACACAGAAGATAACATATGATACATTCTCTTCTATACTTCTGAACGTTTCTCATATCCATAACCAAACACTGGATGAAAAAAGCAAAGGATTGTCTTGGAATCGACCTCATTGCTTTATATAGTGCTCTCACACTGCTATTCCAGGGCACAAGTTACCTTGGGACAGGGGAGAGAGAGGGTGGCTGAACAGGGTGACTCTGGGACCACCATTATTTCAGCCACAGCAGCCACATTCCTGTTCCACATATTTGGCATTCCTATCAAATTTGGTCTGAAAAACAGTCCCCACTTTTTTTTTGGAAAAATCCAAAGAGAAAATGGTCACAGGCTAATTACCAACCCAAACTCCCTGATCCTGGTTTCTGAGAGGCTGTCCAGAGAGCACACGCTTCGTGTTAACTTTACTAGGCTGGCATAATCTTACTGTCTAGGGTTGCCTAAGCTTGAGTCCCAAGAAAACCCTGATGGAAGAGAAACACTCATCTGTTCAACAACTGAGTGAAGGACCTGATAAATCATCTCGTCCACATTGTCATTTGAGGAACTCTATTTTGCACATTTAGGAAACATCTTTAGCTCTAAGGAAGGGAATAAGAAAACACAAAGGCAGTTGAAGAGGCCGCTAGAATTTAAAGCAAAGTGTCCTTTTGCCTTGAGTGTATAAAATTAAAAGTGCTTTCCAGATGGGTTACTGAATTCACTCAAGAACTGGCAGCCAATGAAAGATAGGCTTGCAGACTGACTCTTTTGTACTATTTGTCATACCTTCCTCTTCCACCTGTGAACTCCATGCATATGCAGACTTAACCCACACACATGGGCAGGTCTCACTGGATGTGTCATGGCTGTACCACTGGCTCCTGACACAATGCCCGGTGCTTAGTAGGTGCTCAATAAATATATTTGGAATGGATGAATGAATGTAAATATTTCTCTTTGTCCTCATGAACCCATCGGAAAGGAATCATAAATTTGGCTCATCACTGTCAAAGGACTGTTGTGGTTAGGATTGTGTCCCTCCATTCCGCAAATTATGTGTCAAAGCCCTAACCATCCCCAGTACCTCAGAATGTGACTATGTTTGGAAAGAGGGTCTTTAAAGAGGTGATTAAAGTAAAATGAGGTCATATGGGTGGGTCCTAATCCAACATAAAGAAATCATAAAGATCATAAAGAAATTAGGCCAGAGACATGCACGCACACAGAAGAAAGGCCATGTGAGGACACAGTGAGACAGTGGCCATCTACCAGCCCCAGAGAGAGACCTCAGCAGAAACCAAACCTGCTGACACTTTGATCTTGGACTTCCAGCCTCCAGGAACATGAGAAAATAACTTTGTTGGTTAAGCTGGCCAGTCTTTGGTATGTTGTTACAACAGCTCTAGCGAACTCCTACGATTGCCAATCTCTGCCTCAGACCATGGCAGAAGCGATGTCAAAGAAACATTTTTTCGTGGTTCGCATTTCCCATTCCCATATCATATAAGCCAGAAGAAAATTGTTCTCAGTATGTGTTTCGTGGTGCTTTGAAATCCACAGTGTATCTATGTGACTGGCCTCGCTGTAAGAAAGCCCTTTGTGAGGTCATCATGTCACTCTTGCCAAAGCTGCACAGATGGAGACATGCAGGCTTTTAAAAACACTTGAGAAGACACCATGCCTCACTTTGCAAACCCTCTTTTAAGAAACATCATTACCAGAAATCCATTCGATAACATCAAGAGGAAGCGATGCCTCCAATATTTGAAAACGCTGAAAACACTGCAAAATGATGGATTTAAGACCATATATTTTGGAGAAACCAATATTGCCGAGAGTCTTGTCGCCGGAGAAGATTTCAGTGACGGGTGTTTCATGCAAACTCCAACTTGGTGTATCGTGCATGCTGGTGGTAGTCAAGGATGGGTGCCTTGGAAGTACCAGACGTTCCTTAGAGATGAGGTATGCATCAAACAGGAAGACAGCCTCTTCTCTGAGTTCTGTGATGTGGCGAGGAAGGCCTACGGGAAGTGCGCCATTGTGGTCAAAGAGAGAAGGCAGCGAGACAAGAAGAAGCCAGAGGAAGACAAAGAGCCAGAGGCCCAGATCCATGCCCCATCGGTCATTAACCTAAAGAGCCTTGTGTGTTGCCCGGAGGTAGCCAAGTCCTGTGGCCACGAACTACTCTCTCTGCCTTCCCTTTACAATTACCTAAACCCTTTAGACTCAGCCTGGTCTTCTTTGAAATGGTTTATCATCAATAACAGAAAGGAGTTTTGCTTTCAGTACATTGACAGTGTCTATTCTTACCAGTACATACTTGTCAGAGATTTAATTAGCAAAGGGATCGAAAGGATAAACCCAAGCAAATGGAAAACACTAACCAACAAAGTGCGGAGATGGGAAAACTACTATCTTGGTAAATTTTCTTAAGGGTGATTCCTCTAACAAGCGGTTGGGACCATGCTACGGGCAGTCTTTACCAACTCTGCTGGGCTCGACTCTGGACCACTGCGGCCAAAGATACTTCAACAACGACCTCACAGGGATGCTGTGAGGACTGAGGTTTCTAAGGGTGTTGGCAAAGTGCTGTAGGTTTACTGGAGGTTGCATTAAAAATTGTTGGTGAATTAGGGATCTCGACTCCCATCTTGTTAAGGCCATCTTGAGGGCTGGTCAGTGGGAGGATTACAACTAACTCAGCCCAAAGGAGCTTGATGGGGAGCAGGGGTGGTCAGAGCTAAAGGTTGTGTGGTCGAAACTTTTGGGTCAGAAAGAAAAAGAACCAAGTGTGTGGTCACAAAAAGGTTGAAATAGTGTGCCAACCAGCTTGAGCCACCAAAATAATCTACAGGGAACCAGTTTGCCATCGGTAGGAGATGTGGTCCAGACAGTGGCTAAACAGGCTTTTTGCTTCCCGTTGCTCGAAAAAAAGGTGTCAGAGGTTGAGTGAGAGACAAGGAGGTTCCAAGGAGGTGAAAACCCATCCAGATGCTCCAAGGTAAGTTGGTGGTCCCATAAAGCACCTGGAAAGCTGTACCAGGGATTGATTCAGCCAGGAGTTGGTGGGTGAACAGGTGAAGTGAACAGGAGTCTGTGGAACCCGTTAATCCAAGAATCCTCCAAGAATCAAGAGAGCATGTAACTTGCTCTGGGGTGGAGGAGTGAAGGTTTATATGAGGAGTTCACGGGCACCTGGGTGCCTCAGTCGGTTAAGCATTCGACCTCAGCTCAGGTCATGATCTCATGGTTCCTGTGTTCAAGCCCCACGTCGGGGTCCGTGCTGACAGCTCGGAGCCTGGAACCTTCTTCGGATTCTGTGTCTCCCTCTCTCTCTGCCAACTGCCCTGCTCGTGCTCTCTCTCTCTTTCTCTCAAAAATAAATAAACATAGAAAAATTTTAAAAATTCAAATCCGAAGATCATGTGCACAGCCATTATTCACACTGCCTCTCTACTACTGGGCATTCATTTAATCCCATAATGACCCCATCAGGTAGGTTCTACCATTTCCCCACTTTACAGGTGAGGAGACGGAGATGTTTTGAAGTCAGAGTCTAAAGCCCACATGCCTAACCACCATATTTGGCTTTGTTCCCGGAGTATTTGGCGTTTTTTTCCCTCCCACAACATGGCGACACCAGGCGACACCAGCTGACAAAGCAGCCGCCTCCAAGTGGACACCCACAACAAAAAGATATTTCAACACAAAATTGAGCAAGAGGCAGAATGCCTTGCAAAAACACATTATTTTGCAGTGAGAGGGGAAAAATGGAAGACTTTTAAGGTTCTCAAACAAGATAAACCAACAGACGCTATTTTTGTTTGGATACCACAATGATCTAATAAGATGAGTTTGGGGTCCTCTTCCCTTGAGACCTTGTTTCATCATTAGGAAGGCACTCAGGGGAAAGAGACGTCAGTATAACCAGAGAGATCAAAAGGACCCCCTTTAATGTGCAACTTAGTTACATAATACTGGATGCGTAATTAAGAAATGCTGCATAATACTAAGCGTGGAAACTTCCAGCAGAAAGTCATGGAAAGTACGCTGGGCTTTGGGAGTCGGATAGACCTAGGTGGAATCTCAAGTTTCCAGCTTATGAACCGGGGGGCTTTGGACAAGTTACTTCACTTCCCTGAGGCTCAGTTAACTCATTAGTAAATTAGGGTTGAGGGCTTTAAAACTCTTAGCGCAAGCCATGTCTGGCACCTCCTGAGTGCCCCATAAACTGAAGCTCCTGTTATTATAGTCCAAGCTGAGGGCCAGCAAGGATGCCCACGGTTAGACCTGATGTTGCTGACCTCATTTCCTTTTCACTCTTTCGGGAAAATTCCTGCTGCTTTTCATCACCAGGGCATAATGAGAGTAGACGCATCTGAAGATACTTTGATCAAAGGAACTTTGTTCTCTGGCATTTCTTTTAAGACCATCTGTGATAGGTTAGGCAGCTGATGGTAATAAGAGGTTTCTTCTGATGGGGAGGACAGGGAGGATGGTGAGCATAGCCAGGACTCTTCGAGACCAATCACGTGCTACGCCTGAATGAAACAAACAGTAAGGTAACGAGGCACAGCAACCCTGCGTGTGTGGACGAGTCCTCTGGAAGAGACTTCATGAGGTCAGTGGAGCTGCTGTCTTGCTAAGAGGGTGGCTGGTGAGGTATCCCTTCCTCTTCGGCCCTCACCGTCACCCACAACCACATCCCCGCTCTGTCTCCATGGACCATGGTGACTCCCAAGGAGGTGGTGTGTTGGAACGGTCTGTCCTAAAATGAACCCAAAAGCAAATAGGCAAATGGAGCTGGAGCCCAGTGGATCCTGCCTTGTCCACCCGAGGAAGGTCCAAGGCCTACCCAGGAGGTGCAGACTCCTTCCATGTGTGATCGTTTTAGACATACAAACCATTTTCACGTACGTGACCTCACTCAGTCTAGACGGTCACCCTGTATATAGGCAGGGCAGTGATCCTTAAGCTCATCTGCCCATGAAGACAAGTCCAGGTGGTAACTGACACCCTTAGGGGCATGGACACCTGTAGTGACAGGAAGGTCAGGCAGGATCCACGTCTTCTCAAGTAACCTTCACGCCCGTCTCTAGCAGGCTTCGTGGGTTGGTTAGGATTAGGTCATGCTGTGAGTAGTGGAGACCTAACCCACAGAGATTTAACAGAGAAGGCACCCCGGGGAGCTCCTGGGTGGCTCAGTCAGTTAAGTGTCTGGCTCTTGATTTTGGCTCAGGTCATGATCTCCCGGTTCATGGGATCGAGCTCTGCACTGGGCTCTGTCCTGGCAGCACGGAGCCTGCTTGGGATTCTCTCTCTCCCTGTCTCTCTCTCTCTCTCTGCTCCTCCCTTGCTCAGGCATTCTCTCTCTCTCTCTCTCTCAAAAAATAAATAAACACAAAACAAATTTTTTTAAAAGAAGGCACCCCACCTCCACCACAGAAAAATAGAGAAGTGCCAAGGTGGCAGCTCAGGGCTAATACGATGGATCCATGGTCATCAAGAACCCAGAGTCCTTCCACTGTCCTAACATGGTTCCATCCTCATTGTCCCAAACGGCTGCTGAACAAGCCACTGCATCAGCATTCCAGAGGCGGGAGGCGGGGGGCGGTGGGGGCAGCACTGACAGGTCACACATCTGCACCCCCAGTCTGGCGCTTTCATTCTGGACTCCCCCGGTGGGGTCTCCAGGCTCCTCGCAGGGAAGGGGAAGGCTTGGGGACACTTTGCCCCGCTCTGACTTCTCCACTCCAGGACCTTCCCTCTGGCCTCCCACCCACACCCCGGGGGGGCCTGAAACCACCAGAGCCTTTGTTTAGGGAGCAGCTCTCCATCTGGGCGGATCCACCTGACCCCTGGCAGGTGCACCGGGGGTGGGGAACAGAATGGGGCAGGCCGGCCCTTCCTCCTCGCTTTAGACTCTTGCTGGTGCCATCTGGTACCCTCAGAGTAAGTGGTTAAAGGCTTAACTCTTCCATTTGGAGCCTGTTGCCTCGATCAGCTACTCGGACGGCTGGCAGCTCAGCCCCCTCTCCCAGCTCAGCTGAGCCGCTGGAGCCCCCGAAGCAGGGAGACACCACAGAGGCCACGGGGGAACAGGGAGGAGGGTGCCTCCGTCCGAGGGGAGAAGGCAGAGGGAGAAGGGATTGTGGAGTCTGGCCCCTCACGGGCAAGGCACAGGAGGCTCTCCCCGCTGCACGCAGCACCCCTCCCACGCTGGGAGCAGAAGGCCTTGTGCCAAGCCGGAGGGGAAACTGAGGCCACCGCCCTGGCTTCCAAGGCCTTCAGTGCCCGGTCCCCAGATGACCCCCCTCCTCGGGCCCTCCCTGCTTCCTCGCACAGCCGGTCCCCCTTCCTCTGTCTCCTTCAGCCCTGATGGAGCTCAAGCTTCCCCCTGTCAGAAAAACTTTTCCGTCAATCCTGCCTTCCCCCAAGGCTACCGAGGTTCCTCTCCCCTCCCGGGAGGTACTCAGCCTGCTGCAAAGTTGGGGATCACAGGACAATTCTACAGTTTTCAAGGTCTCAGCTCGCTATGCTTTCTTCAGATGAGCTACCTCCGGCTTTAATTCAATGGGGCAAGCTGTGAATCTGAAAAAAGTACAATCAGTACATGAGAGAGAGTCCCAAACATCTGGAAACACAAGGAAAATATTGAGCCAATTATTTGAAAACTAACCAGTTGTTTGTAACTAACGTGTCGTTCAGAAATGTTTTTGGGGTGCCTGGGTGGTTCAGTCAGTTGTGTCCGACTTCGGCTCAGGCCATGATCTCACAGTTCGTGGGTTGGAGCCCCGCATCGGGCTCTGCAGAGCCCGATGCGGGGCTCGAACTCATGAAACCGTGAGATCATGACCTGAGCCAAAACCAAGAGTTGGAAGCTCAACCGACTGAGCCACCCAGGCGCCCCTCTAATATATTGTTTAAAGATTTTATTTTTAATTTAATTATTCTTATTTTTTAAATGCTTATTTATTTTTGAGAGAGAGAGAGAGAGAAAGATGGAGTGTGAGTCGGGGAGGGGCAGAGAGAGAGGGAGACGCAGAATTGGAAGCAGCCTCCAGGTTCTGAGCTGTCAGCACAGAGCCCAATGCAGGGCTCGAACCCACGAACCTGAGATCATGACCTGAGCTGAAGTTGGAGGCTTAACTGACTGAGCCCCCCAGGCGCCCCAGGCATCTGCATTTGAAACTGCCTCTCGTGTGTGCTCACGTTGGAGAACCCATCCTGCATTCTTGTTTCCCTCCAGACTCTCTCCATTATCTCCCGGCTTCGCTCCCACACAGGGGCGACCGGGGACCGGCGCCCAAGAGGCGATGTCGAGGAACATCCACGTGATCAAGTCAGGCGAGACGCCCTGCTATCAAGGCCCAGGCACCTAGAAACCATCGGGACTAGGGCACCCGGGGGTCCGATGAAGTCAGCGGAGCGTCCCAGTTCGTCTCAGGTCGTGATTTCCCGGTTCCTGAGTTCGAGCCCCGCATCCGGCTCGTTGCTGTCCGTGCAGAGCCCACTTTGCATCCTGTCCCCCTCTGCCCTCCCCCCGCTTGTGCTATCTCAAAAATAAATACTAAAGAGAGAGAGAGAGAGAGAGAGAGAGAGTGATCGTCGAGACTGAATCATTTAGGCAGCTATGTTTCCCCAGAGATGAGAATTTGGATACTTTTCGGGGAAGAGGTAATGCTTTTTAACACACTCAAGATATTTTCGTTTGAACTATTCAGTTCCTGAAATACATCATATATGCCTCTGCCTCTCTGCCTCAATAAGCAAAGTAGTTGAACCTTTTCTTAGTGACTAAGGTCATCCTTGTGAACATAAAGTCGTAACGTGCGGTGGTCCCGGTGTGGGGCCGTCGGCCACTGTGTCGTCTGGCACTAGGTGATGGTACAGTGACTTCTCGGGCTCGGTCCGCTTCACAAAGACCACCTCTTTCGTGCCGAGGCATTTCTCCTGCTAACAGCCTTTTCATTTCTGCTTCCGATATGTTATCAGCTTGAAACCAATAGAGAGGGGTTAGGACAAGTCTAATAAGATTAAATGAGACCTGTGTAAGGGGTCCCGGAGCTCCCCTGGGGGGAGAGAATAGGTTTCAGTTTTCGCTCTCAGAAACCTCTTCCGGCTGCCCGGGGGCGGTCCTCTTGTGGCTCCACTCACAGTTAAGGTCGGAGAGCTGCTGGATCGCGGCAGACCGGCTGGGGTCCTGGTTGTGGGCTGCTCCGATCTCTCTGTCCACCTACATCCATCCACGCATAGCCTGCATCCCGCCAATTATTTAAACTCAAACAATACATCTACCGACTTCGTGTGTGGTCAGTGGTTTAAGCAGTTCAATCCTTAGGTCACCCTCTACCAAATTTTCCAAGATAACCCCATGTTCCACAAATTCACCAGTTTTCAGTCCCCTAGGAAAGCACCTGTTTAAAATAAACGTGGACCATCTGGTTGGGCAGATTGACTCTCCAGGAAAAGGTTACAGCCCCTCTCCTAGGATTGACGAGGCAGCCAGCAGGGGGTGCACGTGGGAGGAAAGGTACCCAGAGGTACCCGGTGTGCTGGAAGCCAGGGATGCCCTAGACCTGCAGAGAGGGAAGGAAGCAGAGACAGAGTTCCTAGGCCAGGGTGGGTGGCTCGCCTGCCAGGCTGGAGAGGGCACCCCGACAAAGGCAGGAGGGTTGGCCGTGGCCCAGGGTCAGTTCTGGACCCCACCTGAGGAACTCGGGGAACGTGGGGACCAGGGCGCAGAAATCCTAGGGCATTCCACTTCTGTTCTGGGTCTGTTCATGCTCCACGAGACCCAGGCCACATGGACTCTGGGGATTTGTAGCTTGTTGGGTCAGAATCAATTCTGTACCTCGAATTTGATCCTATGTCAATGCTGCTTCCTAAATTGTGGCTAAGAGCATCCAGTAACCACAGTAAAATTTAAGAAAGATAGAATTCCTTTTGCCCCTCTGGTTTAAAATTCGAAGTTCTGTCAATCTGGGCCACAGTGGGCTGGACACCCATTAATACACAGTTGCTCCTTGAACGCAGGGGTTAAGGATGCTAATCCCCCGCATAGTCAAAAATTCACCTGTATTCTTCGTAAAACTTAATAGCCTATCGTTGACCAAAAAGTCTTACTGATGGACATAAACAGTTGATTAACACGTCTGTTGTGTATTACACAATGGATTCTTTTCATCTTTCACATCAGCTCTTATTCTGCAAATGGTTACATGTCATTTCTGACCATGAATTTTAAAAATGGTTTCTTCCAACTTTATTTTTGAATAATTTATTGTCAAGTTAGCTGATATACAGTGTATACAGTGTAGTCTTGGCTTCGGGAGTAGATTCCTAGGATTCATCTCTTACACACGACAGCCAGTGCTCATCCCGACAAGTGCCCTCCTTAATGCCCGTCTCCCATTTTACCCGTTCCCCCCACCCCCCCACCCCCATCAACCCTCAGTGTGTTCTCTGTGTGTAAGAGTCTCTTATGGTTTGCCTCCCTCTCTGTTTGTAGCTTAATTTTCACTGGAGGGTATTCTGCTAAGTGAAATAAGTCAGTCAGAGAAAGACAAATATCGTATGATTTCACTCACATGTGCAATCCGAGAAACTTAACAGAAGACCATAGGGGAAGGGAAGGAAAAATATAATGTGTTCTTCAAGCAAGCTAGGGAAAAAACCCGTTAAAACCAGAAGCAAAATACATTGACAGCACTGTATTTATGGAAAAAACCCACTTACAAGTGGAGCCCTGTGGTTCAAACCTCCGTGGCTCAAGGGTCGATTACACACTCATGCAAATGTTCCACGTGGCCACCAGCAACGGGACCAAACCTTCCCCCAGATGTATGGCTTTGGTTACTGCTTTCTCATCCCTGATCCGCTCTCTAATCGAGGGAAGAGAGACGTCGTGAATCTTTTTGCAGAGATCTCCGTCTGGGAGGTGCTGAGTCAAAAAATCTTAGTATCGCTTCTCTCAAACCTGAAAGTCTCCCTGGCTCATCCCTCCCCTTCGTCTCTTATCGCAAATCCCAACAAGCACGTGGTGGGGCGGGGGGAGAGGACCGAGTACGCCCCACTCTTCTAACTCTGTCACAGCAGGACTCGGGGACGCGAGTTCTTCCTAGACTCCCGCCCAGTGGGCCGATGGGTCTCACCCTGCAGCCCTCCCCACGAGGACCCTCCTGGGTCAGCAGAGGCGCCAACGTGGCTTGGGCAAGTGGGGTGCGGCCTCCCTCCACCCCAACGATGGAAACACGGTCGGAGGCGGGCCGGAGCAGGGCAGCGTGCGGGAGGGCAGCACAGCAGAGGGCCGGAGAGCCGGGGAGGGCGGGTGGCCGAGGCTCCCACTCCCAGAGCAAAGGCCACTTCTCCCTCCGCCCGGTCCTGGGTCAAGAGCACCTGCGATCCCAAGAAAGGCCGGGAGGGGTGCAGGTTGGCAAAACTCCCTCCCCTCACAACGCCGGGCGGGGGGGGGGGGGTGGGGGGCGGTGTGTGTCTGCGTGAGACAGAAATGATCTGGCTTATTCCAGCCACAGAGACAACGTTTTTACAAAGGTATTTTATTTCAGTAAACAAAATACTGGTTCTTTCAAGGGCATAAAAAAATGCATACAATTTTAAGTTAAACCTATAGGTTGGGAGTCTATCCTCCGACACCCCATTCAGTAAGGGTCTCCGCTTCCTTCTCAGCTGGGGTCCACTCAGGCTGACATTTAGGTCGCAAACTCTAGAAAGGAAGACGAAAAGGGTGGGTATGAAATGTCTGATTGAACACTGACGGAGGTTTGACCGGCTCAGCGCTGACCCTGGCGCTCGGCCGGTTCAACGTAACAAACAGAAACCACCGCAAGTTTATCTATGAGAAGAATGTTACTGTCAACGTTCCGGTTTTCTGCCCTGGTTTGAAAGCAGGTTCGAGGCTGGCAGCCCCTGAGCCCTGAGGCCTCTGCGGGCGCCGGTGGGAGGGAAGTGCTCGCGGCCCCACATCCCATCTTTCCTTCTTCTTCTTGGTCTAACGCGAAATGAGGGCTCTGGGGGCGCCGGGGTGGCTCAGTCGGCTCAGGTCTCACGGTCTGTGAGTTCGAGCCCCGCGTCGGGCTCCGTGCTCACAGCTCGGAGCCTGGAGCCTGCTTCGGATTCTGTGTCTCCCTCTCTCTCCGCCCCTCCCCCTGCCCGTGCTCTGTCTCTCTTGCTCTCAAAAATAAATAAAACATAACAAAAAACAAATTGGACTCTGCCTGAGACAGAAATTCAACCTACCACACATTTCAAAGAGAGCTGCCCTCCCTTGATGGTTTTAGTTTCGCAATGCTCCCTCTTGCCTCACCCCAGTGCCCACTCCTGGGTTTCAGCCAGTAAAACACCATTTCCAAAAAAACCAAGGCTCTGGCCAGGGGTGGCGCGGGGGGCAATGACAGAGGAGGGGATTCTGGGCCCGGGGTGAGGACCGGAGAGCTGCGGTGCTTCACAGTCTCTCAGTGCACGTCCCTGCACTCGGGAAGGTGATGCAGCCGGGGTGAGGCCCGGCTGACCTGGGTTCGATCCTGACTCTCCTCTTCATGAGGCAGAGGGCCAGCCCTTTCTCAGACTGAACGGGCCCCGCAGAGCTATCAGCTGAAGCGATAAACCGGCCAGCTGAGAAATGCTGAGCAAAATGCTAGCCACACAACAGTCATTGAGTAAGTGTTGCTACGATTACTAGTTGTGTGCCATTAACCTCCACAGGTGCCAACTTTTTTCTTTTAACATTTATTTATTTATAGTGAGAGAGAGAGAGAGAGAGAGAGAGAGAGAGAGAGGGCAGGGGTGGGGCAGAGAGAGAGGGAGACCCAGAATCCGAAGCAGGCTCCAGGCTCCGAGCTGTCAGCACAGAGCCCGACGCGGGGCTTGAACTCATGGAGTGCGAGACTGTGACCCGAGCTGAAGGCGGACGCTTAACCGACAGAGCCACCCAGGCGCCCCTACACCTCCACAGGCCTAAAGATCCTCTACGGGAGGCTCCTGGGCGGCACGATTGGTTAAGCATCCGAGGCTGATTTTTGCTCAGGTCCTGATTTCACAGTTTGTGGGATTGAGCCCCGTGTTAGGCTCTGTGCTGACAGCTCGGAGCCTGCTTGGGAGTCTCTCTCTCTCCCTCTTTTTCTCTGCCCCTCTCTCTCCCTCAAAATAAATCAACATTAAAAAAGGTTTTTAAAAATCCTCTATGGGAATTCCGATTTAGGGAAGCATGGGATCTCTGGGTGGAGGGGGGGGGGTTAGGAGACTGCTGGCCCAGTGGCTCCTAGAGCGACACGTTGCTGGAAGGGCTGTGTTAAGAATCCCCCAGTGCATGTTAACTAACTAAAATTTAAATAAAAAATACACCTACGTATGTTAAGAAAGAAAAAAAAGAAAGAAGAATCCCTTAATGGTTTTTCAAGAGAACAGATGTCTACACCCACGTAATGGAATCTCTCGGGGGTTGGGGCCTGGAAATCTGCACTTTCAACAATTCTGATCCGTAGCCAAGTTTGGGGACCGCTGATCTAGGAACCCCTGCCACCGTAGTTGAATCCTCAAATTTTCAGAGCAGCACAGAATTCAACCTGATAAATGGAAGAAATCAGATCACACACCAGAACTAAGGGAGGTGTTGATCATCGTCTGTTCACTCTGTGGTGGGGGTTTCAGAACTACTTCCTGGTGCCTTAACTCAACAGATGTGCTCTGGGCACCTCTTGGGTGCTGTCACAGGCCCGGGGCTACCGCGACGAGTAAGACTTCACGCTTACGTGAAGAGGTTGTTGGGAAGGACCCTCTGGGACTAACAAGCCAAGGCCAAGGGGCCAGAAAGTCTCTCACGGTCAAGGAGTGGCCTGCAGAAGTGTGGGGAGTGAGCACTGGAGGGGCAAGAACACATCGGGAAGGGATTTCTATGCCATTCCTGGGAGTCAGACTTTCTCCTGAAGATCGAGCAGGGTTTGTTCATCTTAGGTATGGGCGTGGGTCTCCACAGACCTGTGACCCCACCTCCTCCCCGCCCCCGTCTGCAATTTGATGTGCAACTGTAGGTGTTTCTACTATGCGTGCTTCTGCTGGGAGAAGGTCCACGGCTCTCAGGAAATTCTCAAGAGTTCTGCGACCCAACACCTGCTCAGCCCCACTGCCTGGATAAGGGAGCAGCGCCCAGGCTTCGAGCAGAGGGGGGCACAACCTAGCTCATCTGCACCCAGGGTGCAGGGGGCCGGGATCTGCACACCTCCCCTCCCACAGATGCCCCCCATCAGACAGCAGGTGGGTCTCACGCGGCCTTCAGCCTGGAGGGAGGAGGGGTTCTCTGACCCCCACGTCTGTGCCTCGGCCCACCCCGGCCCGCTGTAAATTTTGCACGAGCAAAGTCCCCATACCTTTGATTTTTCCCTCTAGTTATCTTTCTTCTCTGACTGCTTCTTTTTTTCAGCTTCCAGTTTTGCTTCTAATCTTTTCCGTTGGTAGATTTTGACTCCAGCAAATGCCAGGCAGAGAATTAAGGTTTTTGCTGCCAAGATATACAGCAGCAAGGGCATGTGTTCAAGGACCTTAAAGAAGAAAGCAAGCATTCTAGATGTACTATGATTGAGAAGGAACGTTTCTGTTACATTCCCTCGTTTAGCAAACCCTTACCGCACACCTATCACGTAACAGGCACTAGGCCAGCTGCTGGGGCTACGCAGGCGACCAGGACAGACGCGGTCTAGTTTTCCCTCCGCCCTCCACCGCCCCCTTGCTGCTGGCTTCGTGCGCGAACCACCCACGGGCCGCAGACCTAACTGTGGTCTCCCACGAATGGACCAGGCCCTGGGCCGGTCACCCCGGCCCCTGCTGCCCAGGAGGCACTGTGGTCCAGTGAAAGCAGCCGGAGCTGGGGCGGGGGGGGGGGGGGCGCGGGGGGGCCTGGACTATAGCTCTGCTCTGCCACTGACTGACCACGAGACCTGGGTCAGGCACTTGACTTCTAAGCTTCTGCCTCCTCAAGGGAGGTGGGCCAGACCCGTCTCTAGATTCTCTGATCCTAGGAGGCTACGATTTCCTCTTTGTTGTAGCTACTCATCAGCATCGGCGCTTCAATAAATATAAAAATACAGTAAAATTCAAAACATGAAAACTGAGCTACTCATTAACTGTTCCCATAGTTTCCGGTTAGAGGGTAAGTTCTGACCCATGGGCCACATTGGCGTCCGGGGAATAACGATGGATTTGAATTACCGTCTGTACTAGTAGGTACATTATGATGTTAGTGCACATAGAGCAACAGTATCTCAAGGGAAATACTATACTTGTTTCATAAACACGGTTAGCGTGACCTGAATGATAATTGTGACCTTTCCGCGTGAGTAAAAATTCCTTCCCGAATAAAGGTGTGCTTTAGTTGAGTGATCACTTATTCTAGAGGATTAATTAGGGAGGATTTATTCCAGTGAAATCAGTAAACTGCCAAACATAACTTATTATACGCAATTCCCATATAAGGAGGTCCTACTAGATTCTACTACAGGAAGCACATTTGTCTCTCCTTCTAACAGAATGAGTCCGTGAACACTTTAGCTAGCCGGGAACAATATGCTCACAGAGCGGGAGGGCTGGGAGGGATTTTAAGCACGACTTGAGTCTACCACTCGTTTGCCTTACAAACAAGGAGAGTGAAGCTCATGGTCGGGGAGAGGCCTGCGTCACACGGCCGATTCACGATGAGGCCAGAGTCAGAATGAAACGTTCTAACCTCGATGCCGGTCTTCTTTCCTCTGCTTCCCGAGTTTCAAGGAAACGGACTTAATGAAATCATAAATTATATACATACGTGTTTGCACAATTTTATTACAATTCTTTAAGCTTAGACCTAGATATAGATTTCACGTTTAGAAGTCGTGGCGTCAGTGAGGCCTACTGGGAGCTCACTGGGCACTACGGGCCTCCCCTAGAGGCTCCTCCCATAGCAGGCGGGCTCCTGGCTCCTGTCCCCGGGAGGCAGACAGACTGTCCTAATTTTATGGCTGAGAAAGTGTAAAGTCTGGAACGGTGAGGGTCTGACCGAGCTCAGACCGCTCCAAAACCTGAACTCTCTTTATCACTATACTGTAAGATGCATCATCCGCTCCCCACGCTCACCAATTTTACTATTAAATTATACAAACAAACGATGTCTGGGCTACTGAATTTACTAAAGCCGACTGGAATCACTACCTCTGTAATTATTTAACAGGCTACTTACGGATATTTGAGGACGACGGCAAGGTGGTACAGCAGGAAGAGAACAGACATCCAAAGGAGGAATCCAAATATTTCAATTGTTTTAATTTAACCAGAACAGTCAGAACCCAAGAACACTGAGCAGCTGGGTAACAGTTTCCAAGCACAAAGTCATTTTCACAGCAAAGAATAAATACAACGTACGCACTGAGAAAGACCACTCGAGCAACAGTAGAAAAAACTGAAAACTTTGCAAAAGTGAAACTTTTCATCGTGACAAATATAAGCAGCTTGGAACGCGGATCTTCCTCACTCAGACTTAGAGCTAACCTCCGCTACCTGCCCCCAGTAGCCCTCTAATTCCTGTATTTTCTTGAAGGTTCTCAGTCAAGATGAGGCTGGACGCCACGCTTACAAACCAGCTATGAAAGAAAAAAAGCGTTACATGTGCTTTTATTTTACCTCCTTGGCGGCAAAAATCAAGCAGTTCAGAGGCGGAAACCCCCTTTTATGTTCATGGGGTTGATCTAGGCCAACAGAGCACTAATCCACATGGGGAAGTCACCCCTCCAGTTCTCCCCATCTCCATGGCTGAGCTTGTGGAGTCCTACTATGACGGAGCCCACATCACAGCCCACGGTTCCCTGTGATCTAAACATCAAACGGCTTTACCAGTGACGGGAAATGTAGAGCTCAACAGGAAGTTAGAAAATACACTGAATTGGGAATACATCAACAAATGGACAGAGGCAAGTGGCGTGGGTACTTACTTTCTTTCTGAAGGTAGTGGAGAGGAGGCAGCGCGAGGCAGGGGTTTCAGGACCGGGAAGGGGGGCAGAGAGGTGGCAGCAGAGGTCAGGGGCCCCCCCTTCCCCAGGCTTAAAGCAAAGGGTTTCAGAGCTGCACTCCTGCCCGTCTGGGGGACTGAGCTTCAGTTGTGCTAAATGTCTGCCTTTGATTTCTTTCTAACAAACCCCTCATTTTATTTAACTTTTTTAGAGTTTATTTATTTTGAGGGAGGGGGATGGTCAGAGAGAGAGAGAGGGAGAGAGAACCTCAAGCAGACTCCACACTCCATGAAGAGCCCAACGCAGGGCTCGATCTCACGAACCATGAGATCCTGACCTGAGTCAAAATCAAGAGCCAGCCTCTTTAACCAACTGGGCCGCCCAGGCTCTCCCTGTCTCAGTCTCAAAACCAACCAACCTTCAAGGGGGTAAGTGAATAAAATATTGTGGGAGTGGGCGAGATCTATGCCAATTTAAAAAAATTTTTTAGGTCTATTTATTTATTTTGAGAGAGAGAGAGAAAGTAGGAGTGGGAGAGGGGCAGCAAGAGAGGAGAGAGTGAGAATCCCAAGCAAGTTCTGCACGGACAGCAGCGGGCCCAACGCGAGGCTCGAGCTCACGTACTCAGAGATCACGACCTGAGCCGAAGTCGGATGCTTAACTGACTGAGCCACCCAGGCGCCCCATACCAATTTTTTAAAATAAATCCCCAAATCTTGTGTAATGAGAGTGGCTCATTTTTTGAATAATTAGCAAATACTGTCGCTAATGCGCAGTATTGACTGTCACTGATGCCACAGGCCCCCTGAGCCAGAAAGGGAAGCCGACAGGATGTACCGTGGGCTACATAATCCTGCTGCCTTCCAGGGCCTCATGCAGTCAGGGTGCAGAGAGGCCACTTCTTCCCGACAGTACAGGGAAGGGCCCCCTCTTAAACATGAGGTGGTTCCCAGGCAGCCATAGAGCTATGTGTCTGCTCGAAGTTGGAAAGGTTTGGGCAGATTCTGTCCCTGACATAAGAAAGAACGCCTTCTGTCACCAGCAGGATTGGCCTGGCTGGTCAAGTGGGTTGCCCATCATTCTACGATTAAAAACGTTCTCTGCGCCCTGCCTTAGACCAGTGGCAGCCCCAGACTAAGTGATCAGGAACTTTGGCGGGTGTGTGTTTTAACACCGTCTGTGTTTTAACAAGTCCTCAGCAAGCCTTCAGTACCAGTTACTGGTACAGTTCAGGACCAGTCTCTTGTCCCCACTGACTGTGGCCACCACAGAGAGGACAGGCCCTTCCCTAAATCCCACCCCACGCCGTTTTCTGCTTCTTCTCCTTGTATCTCCTTGCTGCCTCGTCTTTCCTTCCCAGCCTTTCCACGGTGAGTTCTGGAATCCCAATATTTGCTAAACAAACGCTCCAACATTTTCAACCCCTTCAAGAAGTCCTCACTCTGCCTCTTAAATTCAACCAGGCTTGTCCTGGAGAAAAGTCCCCATGGTCCGTCCTTCTGCACGGTCCCCCCCAAACCTTTGCCCCAAAGAGCTGGGGAAGCAGAGGGGTTCTCTATCTCCTAGCCCCCCCTGGTCCTGCTTCCACACCTTCCCAGGGAGCCTTGCAATGGAAAGCTGGTGGATGTTTTGAACAAGCAAATGCTCATAATTGCAAAAATACACAGTGAGATCCTAAGTTTGAAAATACACACGCTACACTTACAAATATGGACACTGGAAGAAAACACACCAAAATTGTTAATAGTAGCCATCTCTAGACGGTGAAGACAACACGATTTTTGCTGGATATCATACTTTCAAAGAATCTACAATATGATCTATTTTAGTGGCTGCTCTCTAAACCAACAGCTACCACACCCCACCCACTTTGGGGATTTGATGCGATGATTCTCCTTCCCTCTGTAAAACCTGCTGGCTGCTGCCCGCAGCCCGCTGAATGCCCAGCAGGATCCTGCCCTTGGCCCTGTGCTCTCATCTGCTGAATCTGTTCTGCAGAGGACAGCTATGTTTATTCCCCAACTAGTTTAAGTTGTACTTGATGTTATCGCAGGTAATTTTTCTAAACACAACACTTAGTGAAATATGGCTATATTGTATAAAGAAAAAACTTGTTTCCATGAGAAGTAAATCAAATGCTTTCAATGCATTTTCGAGTTTGAGTTGAAAAAAAAAAACAAAAAACCAGTGCTGTTGGCAACACAAATGTAAAAGATTAGGGAAGACGACATAAAAATCTGGAAAGATTTTGTATGTAGGTTGTTTCATAACATATTAACCCACTTGAAAGAAACCAAAACGTGAAACTGTAGGTAAAACTTTACAGGCATGGTTTTTGCAAGAAAAGTGAGGCAGATCTGAAGTCAGTGTACCCCCGCTCAAAGAAAGGGCCTAACCCCCCTCCAAAAGTCTGGTGACTAAATGAACTTTTATATGTTTTAACTTAAAATTAAATATTAAATAGTATTATGATTCCTGCTTTAATTCATTTTTTCTTTTTAATCAACCCACCTCTACGGCACTGTTACTCTCAATTAAAAAAAAAAAAAATTTTTTTTTTAATTTTTTTTTTTGGGGGGGGGGGAGAGAGAGAGAGAGAGAGAGACAGAGCATGAGCGGGGGAGGGGCAGAGAGAGGGAGTCACAGAATCCGAAGCAGGCTCCAGGCTCCGAGCTGTCAGCACAGAACCCGACATGGGGTTCAAACTCACGAGCTGCGAGATCATGACCTGAGCTGAAATCGGATGCTTAACCAACTGAGCTACCCTGGTGCCCCCTGCTCTCACTTTTTACAATGAGGAGAAAGAAAAAACCAAGCCACAACGTATAAATTCAAAGCATACTCACCTTCCAGTTCATGCTGGGCCAATTGCGAAGTCACTCCCGGTCGACGTGGGCCTGCTCAGACAAGCACATGGAGAGAGGAACTGGGAGGTCAGGTCTTGCTGTTCTGGGGGGGAGAGAAGAAACAGGTCACTTTGGGCTTTCCAGATCAGTCCACCTTAGGAAGCCTTCCCTTTGATGGAGAGAAAGGGCACATGAGCAAAGATAGCAAGCCCCACAGAGAGGAGGGTTCGGGGCGGGGTGGGGGGGGGCAGCAGGGGACCCAGAGCCTGGTGGAAAGCAGATGGCCCGGCTCAGGGAGGAAGACGGGCTTGGCTCTTGGTGAGCAGAAAGGTCTCCGTGGCTGTTTTTTGCCGGGGCTGGGGGCACAGCCCCGAGCAGCGGTGGCAGTGTTGTGCCTGAGGGGACAGGTGCTCCCCCCGGCCACGCATCTGTGGACAGAAGAGCTCCCAAGTCTTCTCCACCCACCTCCTGTCCTGAGCAAAGAGCTGGCCGGCGGATGAGTGCCTCTCTTTTTTCAAGTCCTCTGAGTGTTAAGCTCATCTTGGTTTTTAAAAAATATCTGGAGGGGAGTAAATGATACGGAAAAAAACTGTCCTCAGGAAGTAATTCCTATCTAGAATCTCATCTAAAATGTGAGGAAGCAGCAGGAAATGACAGGTCAGGGGACACAGCTGGAGCACAGCATCTGCTCCAAGGCCTTGTATGTCATTATTCTTATGCTACGGCACGTACCCCAAGAGTCAGAAGACTTGAGTTCTGGATGAAGAACCCACGCACTCTGGTAAGTGACTTCCCTCCCGGGGCCTTGGTCCCATCTGTAAATGAAGAAAGGGGGCGTCAACCAGATGGGCTCTAGGGCCCTGACTTTTTTCTGAAATTTGGCAACTTACAGTGTACTCAGAGCTTCACGTCACTGTGCCTGGCTGCACTACGGCACATTAGCTGTGCAAACTCATTTAGTTTTCACACGAGCCCCGGAGAGAGATTTATTGTTCCGGGTCAGAGATGAGGCAACAAAGTTTATGTAACGCGTCCAGGGTCGCACAGGGACTGGGATTTGAACCCATCCAATGTGGCTCCAGAGTCTTACCCTGATATAGGCAGAAAGCTTTGCAAATTCAAAAATCATGGGGATGCTTGCCTTTAAAGGTACTTAGAATGGAGAAAAGGCACAAGAAAAGGTCAGGCCTTTAGAATGGGGATACTAAAACGAACTTCGGGGAAAGTGTTTTATTAAAACTTTTACTTACAAAAGCATGTAAGTATAGAAAATTCATACCTCATCGATTCAAGGTCATAGTATCTGGAAAACAGGCTGGTGGTTGGCACAAGATAACCGAGTTTTCCCCATGACTTCTTTCAAAGCCAGATAAGTTCATGATAGGAACATACACCATAAATCTCTTTAAATGGGATGACGTGATTGAAGGTGCTCGTTTTCTTCATGGATAAATGGCCTGTTTGTCCTCAAGTAGCAGGAGATTCTGACTTGCACTGGAGAAACACGTTCCTATGACCTGCTGCTAGAATTTTCACTTTCAGTAATCTCTGATAATCTCAGGGCTTAGCCATGTTGTAATTGAACAATGTTTAAGGTTATGTAAATTTTATTTTTACAACTCTTGCTCTAACGGAGTTGTGTACAAATACAGCAGGTAAGTTTGGCTGTTCTTTATTTTCTGCGGTCATATTAATGTATTAATGTAATTAACTACAAGAATTAATGTAAGAATTAATGGATTAATGTAAGATGCATTAATGGATTAATGTAAGATATTGATTCCCAAGGTCAAGGGCAACAAATAGGTCCAAAAAGCTTATGAGGGGAAATTAAAAAAAACACCCCATGGGGTGCCTGGCTGGCTCAGTTGGTAAAGCATGTGACTCTTGATCTCGGAATTGTGAGTTAGAGCCTCACACTGGGTGTAGGGATTATTTAAGGAAATTAATTTAAAAAAAAATTAAAATTAAAATTAAAATTCAGGTTAGGTCATTCTGGTGTGACCTTGGACAACTCACTTGGCCTCTCTGAGCCCCGCATCTCTCATTGGTAAATTCTTCAGAGACTGGATTATAAACACTAAGCACAATGCTCAGTACATGGAACACATTTCAATAAATATCAACCATTAGTGTTATGATAAATATCTCTCCTTCTGCTAATGGACATGCCAAGCTTAAGAACCATAAACAAGAGGCAACCAGGGCAAAATGCAATCAATCCAAGATAGCAGGGACCAAGAGAACTGGAGAGCTGGACTCTATTCTTGGTGGCACCAATGGCAGGCATGTGACCCGGGGCAAGCCATTAACCTCTCTGAACCAAAATGTTCTCATTTTAAAAATCGGTATCCCAGGAACAACTCTGCAACTCTGGAATTCGTTAAGTCCCCATTTTCTCTGATATCACACAATCTGACTATGAAAATTTACTGGCAGTTGCCTCGGCTTCATACCTAGGGTGATGAAATTCAAGCTCTTTAGAAGGAAACATATTTAAAGTCAACCTGCAAAAAAAAAGTAGTGGGAGTGATGCAGGGAGCGGGTGGGAGACAAGAGGGCTGATCACTCCAGCTCATTCCTACCTGCTGCCTCCAAATGATAACTTTCCTCTTCTCCCTTCAATCGCATGCTCTAACTCTAACTTTTGTAGCACCCGGCAGGACTTCAGCAAATGAGAACTGAGACAGCTAAAAATATCAGCAGGCTATTAGCTCCACTGCCATATGTATGTCTGATGCAATATTAGCCACAGAAGGCAGCTGGTATCTGAGGGCTGAACTGCAGAAGCCAACAAGGCGTGGACACTGTTGAGGCATAAAGGCTGTGAAGTTCAGGAGGTTTTAGACTTCCCCCGGAACTATGCACCATTCAAGCTAACTTAAATCTGAAAAACAACAGTGGCTCAGATAGAAGCCTTTGCTTCTATCATTTTTTTTTTTTTTCCTTTGCCAGATTTATCCTAAAAACCAGAAAAGCTCTCCGTTTACTCAGGTTAGGACAATGAAAGCCATCTGGACAAAATACTGTCCAGAATCTACGTTTTCTTCTTGGCACACCTAACAAACTCCAGGGTGGTCAGTCTCCTGCTATCTACGCTCATTCCAGCCGCTAATTAGGCCGTGTCAGAACGTTTCGGAACATGTTCGCATTCCCGGTCTCTGCCCTTTTCACCCCAGCTCTATACCCAATCATTAGAAGTTGGGTGGTGCGAGGAGGAGGGAGCTGCAGGTGAACCCTGGGCATCACTCCGTCGACCTCTGAGCCCCACTACCAGGTCACCTGCGGTTCCCAGGGCCAGAGAGGCTGGATCTCGGCTCCTCCATAACCGACCCTTGGGGAGTAACACCTAACCCGCTGAGACCCGGGGATGAGGGCCAACGGCGGCCGTTGCTTCCCCCACCCATCCACGTAACAGGGTGTCCGGAATATTCGCTCATCCCTCCAAACCCTCCGTCCAGAACAACTCTGGGGACCCCGTCCGGACCTCGTGCCAGCCTAAACACAGCGCCCCCGGCGCCGGATCCGCGGATAACGCGGCGCCGGGACGACCGAGCCAGGCCGGGGCGCTCCGCGGGTGGGGCCGCGGCGGCCGTCACCCTCCCGGTCCCCACCGGGGAAGCCGGCGCCGCGCGGCAGGGGCGCCGGCTGGCGGGCATCCCTCACAGAACAGCAAACGCGGGGCCGACCACCGGACTCCCCAGCGCCCCCCAAAAGCTGTCGGGCTTCGGGTCAGGATCCCGCTGACCGGATGTCACCCACTTACAGCTCCAGGCCGCGGAGGTTCCTGCGCCGGGCCCTGCACAGGAACGGTCACTCCCTCAAGGCGGCGGGGAGACTACACGTCCCGACATGCACCGCTCCGCGCGCCGGCGCAATGGACCCCGGCCGCATTCGCGGGCGTACGCCCGGTACGCAGGCGCAGTGGGACGCTCCGCACCGGACTGCTGGGGGCTGCGCAGGGGTCAGGGGTCACGATTGGCACGGCCGGACAAGGTGCTCCGGGACCCGGCGCGTTCCCGTTGTGACCTTACCGGAGCTGGGGGAGGTCGACGGCCGCAGGGCTGGGCGTCCCCCTTCCTCTGGATACTACCCGCTGCTGTCTGCGACTGAGGATCCTTGGGTCCCCAGAAGTTTCCAAATATAGCGTTCATCTCTGACAAAATGCGTGCATTTTCCTTTGGGAGAGCGGTAGCCCGGGTACCGGGGTCCCAGCTTCCTTCGTTCACCAGACGCGAAGTACGCGCTCGGGCACGCTCAGCCCCGGCCCCGCGGGAGCGCGCAAGCCAGACCCCAGATAAATGCAAGGGTGACCCCGGGGAGGGTGCACGGAGCTCTTTCTCCGTGCTCGGCTCACCCTTCTGTGGATTAAGGAGAGGAGCAAGGGGAGAGTAAGCGGCTGGCGCAAGAACAACACCCGCGAACTGCAGGGACAGAATTTAGATTCGAACCCAGGAGGAGGTCTGACTCCAAATCCCATTATGACATTTTGTGGTGATGACGCACAAGGTGTTAGGCCTGCAGAGGACAAGGACAGAGTGAGGGCTGGAGGGTTTGGTTCGGCTGACCGGCGAAGTTTTCCTATAGAAAGTAACAAAACTAGTTTTGTTCTGAGCGCTGTGAGGCTTCTTGTCTCGCTGAAGCCTCGTAACGAGCCTATAATCGGACATCCTACAACTAATTCGCAGATGAGGAAAGGGAGGCACAGGGAGAGTCATTTGTCCAGGGTCTTAAAGCCCGCAAGTGCCGGAGCTGGGACCCTGACTCTCAGTAGTCTGGATGTAGACCGTAGGGGCAGCAACTCCCATGGGCTCCTTTTCAAACCACTTCTGAACTCTTGGAAGAAGTTAAGAGGGGCTCAGGTCATATGGAGCCAGGAATCCAAGCAGCTGGAGCTCTAACAGCGAACGGGGTAGAAAAGAAAAACAAGCTGTTTGAAGGGGCATCTTTAGTTGCCGAGTTGAAAGTGGAAAGCCTAGGATTTGGGGGGTTAATGTCGAAGTGGCAAACTGAGGCAAGTGGTTCCAACAGCTCTCTACCCAACATGCTTCTGAAGATTGGGCATTTCGCCCATCCCCCAAAAGGAAAGCTGGCCGATAGCCATCTATGTCACCAGCTGTCCTTTCAGTGGTGCACTTTCTTCCAGAAATCTACATTTCTTTCCCTCAATTTGGTTTCCTGTGTCAAAGATGAAGCCAGACACTAGTTAAAGCATGAAGGATAGACTTCCTTCAGTAACTATTGCAACAGAGAAGAGGGTCCAGGATGAACCAAAGTCAACTTGGATTTATGGAGTGGGAACTGGGCACCTTAAGGGGAGAGTGGGGGAGTGGGGTCAGTTGAGCAGAATCGGGGAAGTGGAAATTTACAAAAACCAGGGCATTAGTGGGTCTGACTTGACTTAACCTGAAAGAGAAGCTTCTGTCTTTATGACCAGAGAGAGTGGTGCACGTTAGAGCAAGGTAGCCACTGGGTGGGAAGGGTTCCCTCCTTGAGTGTTGGCATTTCAAAGAGACAAGGCAGTGCTGGCTGGTGAAAGATTTGTATCTCAAAGCAGGAGAGAAAAGATTTCTAATTCCACGTTTTCTAACTGCTCTCAGAGGGGATTCAGGGAGCTGATCTGCCAATCTCCAGGTTTGGGCTGGAACCAACAGTGAATTTTCCCAGCAGCCTGTTGAGTTTTCTCAGGCAGACACTCTAAATGGAGCTGGGGTCCTCTTAGGGATGAGGCCTTGAGCTGTTAGAAGCTGTGCTAGTGTTTGTTCAAGTCTCTTAGGGTGAAGAGGGGGACGAAATCACTTGTACCAAGTCTCTACAGTATTTACAGGCCAAGGCCGAGACCTGCTTGCTGGCTCGGAAGAGACTGACCAGAGGTTAGTGAAGGAGATGGTCTTTGTCACCTGGTAGAAACCTTGGGTCTCTGTCTGGATCCCGACCCAAGGCCAGGATTTGGTAGCCGGGGCTGTTTCTCTGGGCACACCGGGATGAACGTTCTGTGTGCAATAGCGTTTCTGGATCAATGATTTGAGGAAGGAGGCCACTCTGGTCACATGGGAGTATCAGTGGATTTTCATGATACTGTTGTAAGGCTTATGTTAGCATAATTGCACATTTGTTTCTAAGGAACAAATATCTCGTAGACACCTCCCTCTGGAGATATAATCCTTGTAGGCAACAGAAGACATCCTACAAGCCTTGAAGAAAGGATTCTTTTTTTGAATTTTGTCTTGGAACCCTGAGACTTTTTGCTTTTTAAGATTTGATTTACTTATCATCTCTCTTATTTATTTATTCATTATTTTAAATGTTTATTTTTGAGAGAGAGAGAGAGAGAGAGAGAGAGAGAGAGCAGAGGAGGGGCAGAGAGACGGGGAGACGCAGAATCTGAAGCAGGTTCCAGGCCCTGAGCAGTCAGCACTGAGCCCAATGCGGGGCTCGAACTCATGAACCACGAGATCGTGACCTGAGCTGACGTGGGACGCTTAACCAACTGAGCCCCCCAGGCGCCCCTATTTGTTGTTTTTTAATGTTCATTTATTTTACCTTGAAAGAGAGAGAACGAGAGAGAGTGAGTGTGCATGAGCAGGGGAGGGGCAGAGAGAGGGAGACAGAGAATCCCAAGCAGGCTCCATACTGTCAGTGGGAAGCCCAACGTGGGGCTCGAACTCCCGAACCTTGAGATCATGACCTGAGCCAAAATCAAGAGCTGGACCCTTAACCGACTGAGCCACCCAGGGGCCCCTAGAGTCCTGAGACTTGAGGCCCTACTGACAATTGCTGTGCCTTGGCTGAGAAGATGGGGAGATAGGGAAGAAGAGAGGGAAGCTGGGAAGTATGAAGCAATAACCCCATACACCCGTCTTGGCTTCGACTTCCTCCTCTCAGCTACTCTGAGAGAATACACCTTAACCCGAGTTAGGTCCCCATCCTGTCCCTGCTCTAGCTCTGCCCACTCTGTGTTGACCTCCTTTATAACCTGTCAAGTTGTCATCATGAGGTTTACGTACCTGACTCGCTCTAATGAGCGGGTCACTCCAGCTCCGGGAGTCTCAATCATCTCTACACTCCTGGGGTCTACGCCAGTGGCCTGAGTAGATAGATAGGTGTTAAATATCGCTTGGCTTAATTAGTAGATGAAGTCACCTAATGTGTGGATTGCATCTCTAACGCAATGTCTAGATGGAGTGAACTGTCTTAGCTTTTCAACAGACATCAGTAATTCAGACACCTTCTGTACCGTTAGTCTCTTGAAACACAAATGAAAATCATTGTAAATGGAAGAAAATCAAGTGACTGAAAAGAATATGCTATTTATAAAGTGATGTCACAACTTTTCATTATCCTTTTCTATAATAACAAGAACTTTAAAGGGTTAGTTTTCCATAAAACTTTAAATGTTAATTTAAAAATATGTTTCTGTTGCACTGGGCACTTCTTAAAGATGCTACCTCTCTGTTGTGGGCGATTTGCCCTCGTGAAATGTTTGTTCTGTCGACAGACTTCCCAGTAAGCCAGATGCCGGGAAAACAATATACATAAAGTCACCTGGTGATTCTGTTCACTCATCACTTCAGACTTGACATTCATGAATGAATAAATAAACGCTCTGATGTCAAGCCAGTGAGCAGGTGACACATTTTTGAACCACAGCCTCTGCGCAATACATCTGGGTTATTTATAGAGCGAATTCGTCACATACAAAATACTGTTTCATGAGGAAGACAGTTCAGTGACTTGTTGGTACCTGCCTCCCCCTCCTCCCCCGCGCTCTCACCGCTAGCACACAGGCGCTGTCCTTCAAATTTGACTTTATTTCCACTCACTCGACAAACGTGTCAAATTTGACATTGACCGAAGTGACATTTATGTTGCACAGAAAGTAAAAGGGATCTTCAGCATAAAACACGGCTCTGATGAGCAAGTCTAAATCACACTGAGATTACCATTGTCGTCTGAGTTGAGTTGCCACAGGATCTCCATGAAAATTCTCAACAGAAAGCAAGGAGCTTAGTGTCGTCTAAGCAGTGACAACTTGGATTTGCTCCACGGCACAGGTGTCTCTTCACATCCAGGTATCCGCCGTTGGCTTGACGCCTTTCCTCCTCATCAAGGAGCCATGTTGAACCCCGCTGCCCCGAGGTTCTCATGGATGGTGGTCTTCGATTCTTCTAGATTCAAAATTTGACTCTTGTACTTCTCTTGCCAATCTTCCACGATGTACTGGTGGTAGGGGTCGTTGGAGTGCTCTCGTCGCTTGGATTTCACCGTGCTCACCAGGATGGCGACAATGATGAAGGAGAACATGCCGATCATCACCATGAGGTACAAGATGACATAGTAGAAGTTCTCAGCATCAAGCTTGGCTTGCAGGGCCTCTTGCTCAGCTGTCGTGTTCCTGCGCCAGTTGTCCATATAAGTAATAAAAATCCTTCTGAAGGCATCTTCCAGCGTCTGCGTCAGATTGGACAGAGCTGGCATGTCTCCCTCCTGCTGCAATTTAAATAATGAAACAGATGGCCAAGGTTAAGAACACTGATTCGTTCTGCATTTGCCTACTTTAAGGGATAAGGAGGGGTGAATACAAAGGGGGAGGTAATATAATTTCTTCTTTACCTGGCTGGTGATTGATTGAGTGCATATTTTTTGAAAATTATTCTTTAAGCTTTGCATATGCAGTTTATTTTTTGCATGCGTGACACCTTCCAACAGAAGTCTGATGGGAGGGCGCCTGGGGGGCTCAGTCGGTTAAGTGTCTAACTCTTAATTTCCGCTCAGGTCATGATCTCACGGTTCAGGAGTTCAAGCCCCGCGTCGGGCTCCGTGCTGGCGGTGTAGAACCTGTTTGAGATTCTCTCTGTCTGCCTTTCCCCTGCTCGCTTTGTATCTCTCTCTCTCTCTCAAAATAAACACTTTTTAAAAATCTGGCTGGAGGACATAAAACTGTATATAGTACCCCAATTTACATATGTAAATAAGTATAAACATACAAATGAAAATGGAAAAAAGACTGGAACTGACGAGTTCAAAATGTTAACAGTGGGTAGTATACTTAACATCCCCCCCCCCCCACGCTTTATACTTTGTTCACGTTCCAAATTCTCGTCAAGCACCTCACCCTACTTTGTTTTTAAAAAGACCAGTCGCGGGGCACCTGGGTGGCTCAGTCGGTTAAGTGTCCGACTTTGGCTCAGGTCATGATCTGAGTTCGATCATGAACTGAGTCTGTGAGTTCGAGCCCCGCGTCGGGCTCTGTGCTGACTGCTCAGAGCCTGGAGCCTGTTTCAAATTCTGTGTCTCCCTCTGTCTCTGACCCTCCCCCGTTCATGCTCTGTCTCTCTCTCTCTCAAAAATAAATAAACGTTAAAAAAAAAAAAAAAAGAATGTTTAAAAAGACCAGTCGCCTCATGATGCCTAGCGTAATGCGTCGTTCATAACAGGCGTTCAACAGACATCAGCTGAATGAAGCAATGACTCATGTCTGATCCGTGTGTGCAGAGAATTATGGGGCAGAGGATTGCAAGGGGCATTGACCTTGCAGTCTGCTCCACCCCTTTGTCTCCGCTGTGGGCTTTTTCCAAGTATGCCCCAGGGCGGAGTGTGTCCATCCACATTTGAAAGAAACATCTTAGGTAAGTGGAACAACGCGAGACCTGAGAGATCATTCGTATGCCCCAAGTCGGGCTCTCCTCTCCATCGTCACTGGCGCTGTCCAGCCACCAACACCTTTCACCTGGATGACACCATGCGGTGCAAACCCCACCCCCCCCCAACAGTCTCCTGGGGCATATCTGTCCCTCCCTGCCCTGCACTGCAGCCACGATGCTCTTTTTAAGAAGGAAGTGGGATCAGGAGCACCGGGGGGGGGGGGGGGGGGGGGGGCGGGCGGTTAAGCGTCCAGCTCTTGATTTCTGCTTAGGCCGTGATCTCATGGTTCATGGGTTCAAGCCCCTGTCGGGCTCTTGCGCTGACAGCGTGGGGCCTGCTTGGGATTCTCTCTCTACCTCTCTCTCTGCCTCTCCTTCTCTAAACAAATAAATAAATAAATAATGAAGAAACAAACATTTAAAAAAAAGAAAAAACGAGATCATATCCCCTTGCTTTTAATATGACTCAATACCTTCCTGTCCCACTTAACATAAAACCCCAGTTCCCTAGTGGGGTTTACCTGGCTTGGCCTGAGCTGACCCCCAACCACCTCCCCAGTCACTCCACCCTCCTGATGACTGGTCGTTCGTGCCTCCAAGTCAATAAACGTTCTCCCGCGTCGGGCCATTTGCACATTCTCTTCCCTCAACCTGGAATAACTTTTCCTTTCTCTTCCCTCTGCTGCCTCCTTACCCTTTTGGCCCCAGCTTAACTGTCACCTCTGAGAAAACCCCCTGGCCCCGCTCTAAATCACCCCCTACCACCACCACTTTTCTCCAATAGCATCTTTTTATTTTTATTTTTTTTCCAAAGCCTTCTTCACCATCTGTGCTGACTGTGCGGGTGCCGCTGGTGTTCGTGTGTGATCGTTGGCTCACGGTGTCGCCTTTCCTGCTCAACTGCCACCTCTGTGACACAGGGCTCGTATCGCCTTTGCCTACCTTGGTGTAGCGAACGTCACCACAGAGCCTGACACATCGAAGGCACCCGGTGGATGCTCAACGAATAAGTTAATGTGCCAGGCACCGGCGGGGCGTCGGAAGGGCAGAGATGGTGAGGGTGAGGTTTCTGCCTGTGGAAGCTCGGTGTGGCAGGAGCCCTTCAGACAAACAGCCACGAGAAACACAAAGGCTGGTGAGCGGTATGGACAAAGTGAGAAGGGACTCGGAGAGCTGAACGTGGTTCGGGGATGGAGGAATGCGGGGGTGGGGGGAGGGGAGCAGAACTGGGCGGAATGTAGACAGGAGGTGAATTGGTGACTAGCCAGGACCTACCTAGAGGTTCACCCAGGTAGTAAGAGCCCAAGCAGTGGCTTTGCCAAAGGCCCTTCCGGAAACAACGCCCACTGTCTTCAACATGTCTTTCCTTTCCTCTTATAAGGCGAGATGTTGCAGACCTCCCTACCTGAGGGAGGGGCCCAAGTGGAGCTCCAGGTCTTTGTCTGATGCTTTCCCAACATTTCGCTCAGTGAGAATTAACTGATAACTCACTGTGAGAGAGTGCAGCTAGGCTGGTTTTAATCTTACCCAAGATGTCGCCACAGGCCCCCTGACCCTTACAGAGACAAGATCTGCTCCTCTGGTGGGAGGTTTATGTGTATTCACTTTGAGAGAGAGAGAGAGGTGGGGGGGAGCAGCAGAGAGAGAGGGAGACACAGAATCCGAAGCAGGCTCCGGAATCGGAGCTGTCAGCACTGAGCCCGACGCGGGGTTCGAACTCACGGAGCCGTGAGCTCATGACCTGAGCCGAAGTCGGACCGACTGAGGCCCCCAGGCGCCCCTCTGCCAACTTTTCCCGGCATCTTCATCCAATGAAGAGAACTGTGATTTTTCCAGCTTATATAGTCCCCCTGCTGCACCTTCTAGAGAGAATTCAGTTTTCTTTTGCAAAGCCAAATTGAAGAACGGAGAGAAGATAGAGACAGGTAAAGAAGAACCAGAAGAGCTACGTGTACAAAGTGAAGGGCTGGTGGAGGGGTGTGGAAGTCACAGAGATGAATGATGGGGGCAATTGGGTATCGGGGAGGGTGCTGAGCAAACCCAGGGCAGCAGACAACCGGCAAGGGGAAGGGGAACCCTCTTCCAGGCAGAGAAGTCAGTCCCCTGCAGGGTTCTTTCTAAGGTGCTATCAAGATTGGAATTATTACTGAGGTGCCTGGGTGGCTCAGTCAGTTGAGTGCCTCACGCCGGCTGAGGTCACGATCTCACACTTCACGGGTTCGAGCCCCGCATTGGGCTCTGTGCTGATGGCTCGGAACCTGGAGCCTGCTTCAGGTTCTGTGCCTCCCTTCCTCTCTCTCTCTCTCTGTCTCTCCCCCACTTGTGCTCTCTCTCTCTCTCTCTCTCAAAAATAAATAAATAAACATTAAGAAAAAAATTAAGATTGGAATTATTCCAGTTATTTTTGCTTTTTGGACAGCCCTTTTTTTGGAGGAACTCTAGTATGCTCTGAGCACCCAAGGCCTTGCCTTGTATCTGAGTTTCCCCCAGAGAGGCGGTAGCATTGCAAGTTCCCAAGTGCTCTGAGCTCCTCCGTCCACCCTGCCTCCCGTTTATCTCCTTTGTGGATTGTGCTGCTGTGCCTGGAAATTCCACCAGTGAACGCCTCTGAGTGGAGGACATAAAGGTCCTAGTCTTTTTCTTTTAATAAATATTCAAAAACAATTTTTGTTAATGTTTACCTATTTTTGAGAGAGAGAGCAAAACAGAGCATGAGTGGGGGGGAGGGGGGAGGAGAGAGAGGGACAGAGGATCTGAAGCAGGGTCCAGGCTTTGAGCTGTCGGCACACAGCCCCACGCAGGGCTTGAACCCACAAACTGTGAGATCGTGACCTGAGCTGAAGTCTGATGCCTAACCGACTGAGCCGCCCAGGCGCCCCGAGGTCTTAAATGGGAAATGCGGTAGGGTAGGGCATGCTCACTGTCAATATCGTTTTGCGAATGTTTTCAGCAAAGCAATGGCGCACCACCTGTGAAAAATCTAGACCAGCCCCTGACTCATAAGAGGGCTTAATAGTCCCCTGTGTTTTCAGGCCTCTGAGAGAATGGGGACACAGGAGACCTATGTTTTGGTGCTTTCTTAGCAAAGCCATCCAGGACAGGGTGCCTCAAGGGAAGCCTCAAGATTCCACAGGTAAAATGGGAATGGGGCACTTTAAGTAAGTATTGAGGGGGAGGGGAAATGGAGCCCAAAGGACAGGGGAGAGGTCACTGAAGTAACCTTGGTCTTCTGAATGATCATCCCTGAGTTGCCCTGCAGAGGAAGAAAGAAATACAATTTCTATAAGACAGAGGAGCTGAGTATCTCCAGACTCACCTGTGAAAATGGCGGTATGCTGGGGCACCTGGGTGGCTCAGTCAGTTAAGCGTCCGACTTCGGCTCAGGTCATGATCTCACAGTTTGTGAGTTCGAGCCCCGCGTCAGGCTCTGTGCTGACAGCTCGGAGCCTGGAGCCTGCTTCGGATTCAGTGTCTCCCTCTCTCTGCCCCTCCCCCACTTGTGCTCTGTCTCTGTCTCTCAAAAATGAATAAATGTAAAAAAAAAAAAATAGCAGTATGCTCTTGTAGTTGGGAAAACCCCATCAGTGGCCACCTCACCTGCAAGCTCTTCCCCAGATCTCTGAGTTGGAGATCCCTTTCTGTGCTGCTTCTGCAAACTGTCACGTGTCCGTCTGCTTGTTTTCCATTACCCATTTATTGTGTGCTCGTGCATGTGAGCACTGTCTATGACACTGACATGACTACCTCCATTTTGCAGGGATGCTCAAGTGATTTGGATCATAATTACATGACAGCTTGAGCTGCTGAAGGACAAGGCTCAGTCATTTTAGTCACCTTTGCTTTTTT